TCTTAAGTGAACAATGCAAAGAAATAGAGGAAAACAATGGAATGGGAAAGACTAGAGATCTCTTCAAGAAAATTAGAGGTACCAAGGGAACATTTCATACAAAGATGGGCACAATAAAGAACAGAAACGATAAGGACCTAACAGAAGCAGAAGAGATTAAGAAGTCGCAAGAATACACAGAACTGCACAAAAAAGATCTTAATGACCCAGATAATCACAATGGTGTAGTCACTTACTTAGAGCCAGACATCCTAGAGTGTGAAGTCCAGTGGGCCTTAGGAGGCATCACTATGAATAAATCTAGTGGAAGTGATGGAAGTGACTGGAAAAGGTCAGTTTTCACTACAATCCCAAAGAAGCGCAACGCCAAAGAATGTTCAAAATATCATGCAATTGCACTCACTTCACATGCTAGCAAGATAATGCTCAAAATCCCTCAAGATAGACTTTAATAATAAGTGAACCAAGAACTTTCAGATGAACAAGCTGGATTTAGAAAAGGCAGAGGAACCAGAGATCAAACTGCCAACATCCATTGGATCATCGAAAAAGCAAGAGAATTTCAGAAAAACATCCACCTTGCTTCACTTACTACATGAAAGCCTTTGACTGTGTGGATAACAACAAACTTGGAAAATTTTTAAAGATATGGGAATACCAGATCACCTTACCTGTCTCCTAAGAAATCTGTATGCAGGTCAAGAAGCAACAGTTAGAACCGGACATGAAACAATGGACTGGTTCAAAATTGGGAAAGGAGTATGTCAAGGCTGTATATTGTCACCCTGCTTATTTAACTTATATGTAGAGTACAACATGAAAAATGCTGGGCTGGATGACTCACAAGCTGGAATTAAAATTGCAAGGGGAAATATCAATAATCTCCTATATTCAGATGACACCAATTTAATGGCAGAAAGTAAAGAGAAACTAAAGAGCCTCTTGATGAGGGTGAAAGAGGAGAGTGATGGGGCCAGATGCCATGATCTTAGTTTTTTGAGTGTTGAGTTTTAAGCCAGCTTTTTCACTCTCCTTTCACCTACATCAAGAGGCTCTTTAGATCTTCTTTGTGTTCTAACATTTATTGAGTGCTTACTGTAACTGGGCACTGGGTTAAACATTTTACTTATTTAATCTAACAATGCAACCATAATTAATATTGTACCTTTTTAGGGATGAGGAAGTTGAAGCCCACAGAGGAGTGAACTGTCATGCATGAGTGATTGTGGCAGAGCTTGGAACAGCTCTGTTTGGGCTCCTAAAACATTTCTTGCTTTTTTAAAAAGTATTTATTTATTTATTTATTGGCTGTGTCAATAAATAGTTGCAACAACTGGGATCTTTCGTTCAGCTCACGGTCTTGGTCTGCCACAGGTGGTATCTTAGTTCTCCAGCCAGGGACAGAACCCAGGTCTCCTGCATTGGAAGGGGGATTCTTTTTTTATATATAAGATTTTTTCAATTGAAGGATAATTGCTTTACAGAATTTTGTGGTTTTCTGCCATACATCGATAAGAATCAGTCATAGTACACCCATGTTCCCTCCCTCCTGGACCTTTCTCCCATCTCCCTCCCCATCTGACCCTTCAGCCTGTCCCAGAGCCCCTTGTTGAATTCCCTGAGTCATAGAGCAAATTCCCATTCGTTATCTATTTTACACACGGTATTGTAAATTTTGTCACTCTCTCCATACATCTCCCCTTGTCCCTCCTCTCCTCCTTCCATGTCCATAGATCTGTTCTCTATGTCTGTTTCTCCATTGCTGATGGTTTCTCTTCAGATCCAGGGGAATGAGATGAAAAAGAGGAAGGGGAAATAGGAAGAGGAAAAAGATAAATGGATGTAAACAGAAGAACTCTCCCATTTTCACATCAGTTATCTACTCCACCTGCACAACCCCCTCTAAGGCATCATTAATCCTTACAGATAAACGGAGACAGAAGTTCCAGGGACTGGTAGGCTCCTCCCACGGGGGTACCTGCAGAGGGTGGGGCAGGGGTACAGGCTGCCCTCCCTCCTGCCCTCCCTGGCAGTTTCATGACAGCTTCTCCACAACCGCTCCCTCCCAGGTGGCGGCAGCACATCCTCCTTGTGGGCAAGTCTCCCTCACGCTGCCCCACCCAGAAGTGGGCGTCCCCTCGCCCAGGACCACGTGTACAAGAGACTAGCTAGGGGCCGAGGCTGAAGTCAGTAGCCTCCCAGAGCTGTTCTCATCTGCAGGCTTCCCGTCAGTGCACCACACCACGCTTCCTGCCTTGCTCGGGGGAAGCCCCTGAAGCACACTGTTGTGAAAAGCGAAACTTCAGAATACCCCAAAACAGAATCTAAATTGGCCAAAGATATAAGAATCTGTGGAAAAAAAAAAAGTAAAGAAAAGATATTCACAGAGCTTGCTGAGGCGTGGGAAATCCAGGCCTGTCCTGCAGAAGAGCTCAATGACGGGACGTTTCCGTCATGAGCAGGCAGAGATGATTTCTGGAGGAGAGACGGAAATGAATCTCTCACTGTCTACTTTTCTCTAGTGCTTGTATTTTTTTTTTTAACCAGGTGGCTTTATAACATTTTCAATTACAGAAAACTATTTTAAAGTGGCCTGCCAAAAATAAAATAAAATAAAGTGGCCTGCCAGGCAGTCACCATTCTGTGTGGTTCACCCTCCTGAGAGAAGGCAACAGCTTAGTCAGGGCATGACACATTAGGGGTGGGGTCACACATCCGGTCTACTACATATGCCTCCAAATCATGCAACTCATTGTTCTGAGGACTCAAAGTCACGTTTAAAATCAGAGTCAGCTAAAGTAAAACTGGAAGAGAAATTTGCTTCTGGAATGTGGAGCACACAGCACAGACCAATGCTGCTCCCTTGGGCAGCACCCTCTCAGGGACTCTGGGATGGAGTTAGTGGTCACGACTCTGTCCTGGGGAAGAACTGAGGCAGTGAGTCCAGTCTAGCCCATCACCCTCAGGTCAGGTTGGGTCCTGAATAAGCCTCAACCCCCGAGGGTCACAGAGCAGAGTCAGAGGAAGAGCGAAGCAGAGACCACAGGGTCAGACCCACACAGGAGTGTCGAGCATGCAGAAAGAGAGAAATAAGATGCAGCATCTCACAGTCTGCAACAGGAAATGTCCTTATTCTGAGCAATCAGGCAAGTGACAGTGGGGGCAGCCGAAGCAGTGAGGTTAGAATGAACCCTGAGGGTCTGTAAAGGAAGCAAAACAGATGATCAAGGCAAACGCTATATAAAGTCTCTCATTAGAAATTTAAACCCTAGCATGTGAGCATACTCAGTCATGTCCGACTCCTTGTGACCCCATGAAGTGTAGCCCGTCAGGCTCCTCTGTCCATGGGGTTATTATCCCAGCAAGAATACTGGAGTGGGTTGTCATTTCCTCCTCCAGGGGATCTTCCCGACCCAGGGTTCGAACCCATGTCTCCCGCATTGAGATGATGGATTCTTCACCACTGAGACACCTGGGAAGTCCCTTTAAATTCCAGAGTCTCTAATGTGAAAAGAAGGGAATTGAGGGCAGGAGAATTACTCAGCCACTTGGTTGGTATTAAAGGAGGAGACAGGTGAGCAGGCCAAGACTGAGTGGATACCTCCCTTTTCTACTCCTTTAGGAACATCCATCCTTCACCCACTTCCTGATCTAGTGTAGGGGGGCAAGGTCTTCTCTCTGCTCCACTGGCCTCCTCTCTCCAGAATCCATCCCTGGAGAAGCTCTGACCTCCTTCTGAATAGCTCAGTTCTACTGTGGGGTTCCAGATTAGAAAATAAGGTTACTTCTCTCATCCAACTGTTAATCCCCAGTGGCTTCCCCTGTTCTTCTCCGTTCATGTCACAACTGCCTTCTTGCTCAGATCTACCCACCCACACCCCTGCCCCTGGGTCTTATGAACTTAGAAATACAAACTCATTTAAACATCAAGACAAAAGAAAAACAGAATTGGTGGTTGAATTTTCTGCCATAGAACATTTCCAAATTATCGGCTATTTGGAGTGGTCCTTCTCTATTACTGAGACAAGGAGACAAAAGGACCCAAGGACCCAAAAAATTACATCACAGAACCCCGGTGAGCAGCCTGAGGGTGGAGGTGGTAATGAGTCAGAGTGTGGGTTTAAGAACTGAACTTACTTATTTGGATTTTAATTCCAGCTCTGACACTACTTGCTCAGTGATTCTCAAAGTTGAGAATGTACCAGAATTACCTGGAGGGCTTATAAAGGTACAAATTACTGGGCCCCATCCCCCAAGTTTCGTATTATTTAGGTCTGAGGTGGGACCCGAGAATCTACATTTCTAACAGTTTATCAGATGATGGTGAAGCCGTTGGTCTACTTTGAGCCGCACTCTCCAGCAGTGTGGTCAGCCGCCTTCCGTGTATATTCCGGACAATAATCAGTAGTTATTTGCTGGGGCTAGTATTTACCTGAGACCTGGCACATGAAGACATTAGCATTGTTCGTGGCACACGGCAAATGCCCTGCTCTTATTGTTGGATGAAGGGGAGGAATCATTTGGTCAAGACCACTTCTCCCGATGAGAAGCAATCCTGGGACGGAGCCCCAGGGCGCCTCTCTGTCCCGCGGCGTTTCTCTGCTCCCGAGACTCTTCCTCCAGACTCTGAGCGCTGCGGCCACACAGCCACTGAGCCCGCGCGCCGCACGCTGCGGTTCCAAGCACATGCCGGCGGCTCACGCCTGTCGTCTTTGTGATGGCCGGGACCCTCCAATCTTTATCGACGCCCAGAGCCTGGCCGCGGAGACTGGCCCCCGGAACTTGCTGAGATCTGGAGAAGCCGGAGCAGCCGGGATTCCAGCCGCGGCGGCGGGGGCGGGGTGCATGGGCCGAGGGGCGGCCCCGCAGCAAGCCGGCGTTCCGCGGCGCAGAGCAATGCTGGGGAGCTCGGCCCCCGGCACCTGACCCGGGAGGGGCGGGGAGGACGAGCTCCAGCGGTTGTGCAGGGCCCGCCCCGGCCCCGCCCTCCAGGACGTCCCGTCGGGAAACCGGTGAGCTGCACGGCCGCGCGGCTGCGGCTCCGCCCGGGCACCACAGGTAAGCAGCAGAAGCAGCCCGCCACCCTTCTCTGGCCTTAGAACCCAGAGCCCTCCCGCTTCTTGGGACTTGCTGCCGGTCGAGATCGCCTCTCCCAAGTCCTTGTCCCCCATCCACCTCCCGCCTCCGCCGATCTTCTACTCCTCCTCTTCCTTCACCCCCGACAGCAACACGAAGGGGCAGGGCCGGGCTGGGCCATCTGTCGTGGTGGCCTCTAGCTCCTCCCTCGGTAGGACTCCCTACACCTTCGCGCCTTCCTTAAAGGTTGAAAGAAAAGCTGGGGTCTCTGGGTCCTGGAGGGGTGGGGTGGGAGCGGTGCAAGCAGCACTGCCTCCGGGACCCTGCAACCTCTGCCCCTCACCCATGCCCTGGCATCCCTTTTGTGCCCCCATCGCCCCGCGCCGGGCCACCCCCCTGTACTCAGCCGCAGAAAACCTTTCGGAGAGGTTCCCTCCTTCCCCGGGGGGGGGCGCGGCTCCTGAGCAGAAGGAGTGAGCCGGCGAAGAGAAACCTCCCGGGTGAGGGCAGAGTCTCAGACATCCTCCCTGTGGAGACTGGGGCCTTTAAAGGGCAGGAACTGTGTGCTCAGTATTGTTGGGAGGGAGTCTGATGGGTGTTCATGACTGTGACTGTCACCGACTTCCTGATTTCCTGTCACTTGTCCCAAACCCCAGGCCAACCGAAAGGAGAAATAGTTTGTTACTTGCCCCCAGAGCCTGTTGTCCCAGACACTGACCTCTGCGGAGGTTAGCACAGGGCTTCTCTGTGTGTATGGGGATGGTGAGGTGTCAATTTGCCAGCACAGCATAAGACAGACCCCTCTATTAGCCAACCACCCCATTGCAACATTCACAAGGAGGGTTCTAACACTGCACTCCCAGTGAACTATCAGACCTGCAAATGCAGTTTGCAGACGCTGCAGGAGGTTAATAACTCTGGACACACCAAAGAACCTGGGGCTTGTGCTCATTTTGCCAGAGATATGTGTACACTGCCCACGCCCCTTTCTCGCAGTGAATGAGCTATGTCTCTGCCCATTACAGGAAGAGCAAAAAGGATGAGACAGGCAAATGCATGTGATCAATAGCGCAAGCTAAGGTGAGGAGTTGGAAATTTACTTTAGTTCAAGTTATCCAGCAGAAGCCAGCATCCTTGTGGATATTTCCTGACCTGTTCCTTAACAGTGCCATTCACTTTAGGCACCCAGAGGTAACAAAACAACTTTCAGGGGCACCAGAGCAGTTAGCAGAGCAGACCTGTCAATGGGAAGGTGGTCTAGAGGTGGTGGAACCACGAAGAATACTGGGCTGCCTGGAAAGCCCTCCCTCATCCTTGGTAATCACTGCCCATAGTTAGCAGAACAGCTGACTCCTACCCACGTGGAAGAACTCACGCCTGAAAAGGGAAGCCCTGAGGCATGTCAAAAACTGTCTGAGATCGGAAACATCTCAGCCCCAAATTCACTTGGGAGAAACCTGAACAGGAGATACGACCTTGGGCTTAGCCCACATAGCCATTGCCTAGAACAGAAATCAGGAATCAGAGGGACAACTAACCCTAGGGCCAAGGCAGTGGGTATAATGGAGGCGGAGAGCTGGCTCAGCTCTGTCACTAAATTAGCTGTCTAACCTTGGCCAAATCACATAAACACTCCCTGGGTGGGGAACAAATGAGAAGGTGTATGTGAAATGCTTTGTCAAAGCTCCAAGCACCAGCCAAGTGCAAGGCAACATGGTGCTGTGGTTAAGATAGTGGGCTTTGGAGAGATGTGGGCTTGGGAGCAAATTCTGCCTCTTCCATTTCATAGCTGTGTGTCCTTGGTCAGGTTACTAAACTTGCGTGGGCTTCAGTTTCCTTATATGTAAAATGGAGAAAGGCAACTGTGTCTTGCTTTGGTATAGCAAGCAGTGATATTAAAAAAGGTTCTGGTATTGTTCTGAACCTGCTCTGGCTTCATGGACATGTTCTGACATCTCCAGCCCTAGAAATGAAGCTGAGGTCCAGAGTGGGTTTCTCTGCCCTAGAGGGACCCAGGTGCTGTGCCAAAGATTTGGGTGAACTCTGATCATCATACAGCCCTCTGCTCCTCTCTGGGAAAGCCCAACATACCCTTTCTCATTTGATGGGAATGAGAGTGAGGGTTTGAATGAATGAGAGGTCAAGTGCAGGGCAGTGCCTGTCTCTGTGTCGGGCTCAAAGCTGTAATTGTGCTGTGTACAAGGCTTGCCCAGCGAACAAGGATGGCCTCAGTCTGGGGAGAAGAAGGACTGTTACAAGACTCTTTTGTGGCACCTGAGAGCCCTGGGAGGTCAGGTTATTCTCCAGTCTCCTGTGCAGCCTGGTCTTCAACCCTAGGTAGAGATGCGAAGAAATGAAGAAACTCAATCCTCACCCTCAGCTCTGCGGATAGCAGAAAACAAAGAACAGACAGATCAGGGCGTGGAATTAACAACCAGATACCTCAGGATGGAGGGATGCTGTAGGAATAGAAAGGTTAGGTGAACCAGTTAGGAAAATCATACTAGAGGCAGAAGATTGGGGACCAGGATTTAAAGATTTCAGAAGATGAAAGAAAAGGGGACCTAGGCAGCCCAATGTCTAAACCTGTTGGTTCTCCCTCCCCCGTAAAATCTAGTGGGGAAGTCCTACATGAAGAAACATGGGCCGTGAAACTTGGAAACAAACATGCCCAATACTAATGGCAGTAAGATGCCCTTTAGTCTGAGAAGGCTTCTTGGAGGAGGGGAGTTTCAGGTAAGAATTAGAGAAAAGAAACATAATTTGCTTTCAGTCCACTTCAGTTACTCACTTGTGTCTGACTCTGCGACCCCATGGACTGCAGCACACCAGGCTTCCCTGTCCATCACCAACTCCCCAAGTTTACTCAAACTCAGCTCATGAGTTGAGCTTACTCAATTCATATTGGTGATACCATCCAACCATCTCATCCTCTGTCATCTCCTTCTCCTCCCACCTTCAATGTTTCCCAGCATCAGGGTCTTTTCTAATGAGTCAGTTCTTCTCATCAGGTGGCCAAAGTGTTGGAGTTTCAGCTTTAGCATCAGCCCTTCCAATGAATATTCAGGACTGATTTTCTCTAGGATGGACTGGTTGGATCTCCTTGCTGTCCAAGAGACTCTCAAGAGTCGTGTCCAACAGCACGGTTCAAAAGCATCAATTCTTCAGCGCTCAGCTTTCTTTATAGTCCAACTCTCACATCCATACATGACTACTGGAAAAAACATAGCTTTGACTAGACGGACCTTTGTTGGCAAAGTAATGTCTTTGCTTTTTGATATGTGGTCTAGGTTGGTCATAGCTTTTCTTCCAAGGAGCAAGTGTCTTTTAATTTCATGGCTGCAGTCACCTTCTGCAGCCCAAGAAAATAAAGTTTCTCAGTTTCCATTGTTTCCCCATCTATTTGCCATGAAGTGATGAGACTGGGTCCCATGATCTTAGTTTTCTGAATGTTCAGCTTTAAGCCAACTTTTTCACTCTCCTCTTTCACTTTCAAGAGGCTCTTTAGTTCTTCTTCGATTTCTGCCATAAGGGTGGTGTCATCTGCTTATCAAGGTTATTGATATTTCTCCTGGCAATCTTGATTCCAGTTTGTGCTTCTTCCAGTCCAGCGTTTCTCATGATGTACTCTGCATATAAGTTAAATAAACAGGGTGACAATATACAACATTGATGTACTCCTTTCCCGATTTAGAACCAGTCTGTTGTTCCATGTCCAGTTCTAACTGTTGCTTCTTGACCTGCATACAGATTTCTCAGGAGGCAGGTCAGGTGGTCTGGTATTCCCATCTCTTTCAGAATTTTCCACAGTTTGTTGTGATCCACACGGTCAAAGGCTTTGGCATAGTCAATAAAGCAGAAGTAGATGTTTTTCTGGAACTCTCTTGCTTTTTCGATGGTCCAGTGGATGCTGGCTATTTGATCTGCTTAGCAAGAACATAAGGAAAATGCTTTGAAGAGGAAAAGGTAGCCAGTGAGGGTGAGGAGCAAACAGAAAGCAGACTGCCAAGGCCGTGTTTCTGCTACAGTCAAATGGCGGGAAAGGAGTGTGAATACGGCCCTTCTAGATTGTGAAAGGGAGAGAGAGGCCTGAGCAGAGGAAGCTGGCAGGCAACTTCTGCTGATCCTCCAGATACTGGGTCATCAGAGCACAGTCTCAGAGAATGGTTTTGAAAGGGCAGAGGAAGAAGAGGATCCAGGAGGCAGAGAATGAATCAGCAGGAGCGTGCATGGAGTGAGCCTGATGTTGAAACCCATTTAGAAACTCCATGCCTGGGAGTAGAGTAGGGGCAAGAGTAGTTTCCAGGATTTCGACGCTACTGGCCACAGTGGGGAAATTGGGAAGGCTGGCTAGCTTAGGGGGCAGGCCACAGACCCTGAGTTCAGGCTGTGGCACGTCGGGTATCCAGTGGCCCTGGGTAAAAGTCCTACAGCCAGGAGCGCACCATACCTGAAGAGAGAAGAGAAAGCTTCAGTTCTGTCCTCTCCCATCACCTGCCCCTCAACCTGAAGATGAACGCAAGCCTTCAGGAATACCCCTTCTGTTAAACACCCCCATCCGTCCCTCTCCTCCTGCCAGTTGATGGATGATAAGACTCAGTTCAAGTTTTTTTTTCTCCCCTGCCCCCGACCCTGGCTTTCTCTCCAACCCAACCTGATTGTCACCAGGGTTCCTAAATGATTAGGGAATCCCAGCCCATGCCCACCTAGGGTTCTTCTTCATCCCTAGGTTCTGAGGACTCTCAAGGCTCAGTTGGAAACGGTTACATATCCCTGCCCGACCTGGCAGGACCTGGAGATCCTCTAGTAACAAAAACCTGTGAGCTGATGAACTTCCTGCTTGGTCAAGTATTATTTTGATTTTTCAGTAACTTTACAAACTTGGACTAGATCAAGAAACATTTGCTGAGCACCTGCTGTGTGCCAAGCCTATTCTAGGGACACAGTGTGAGTTAAGTTCAATTGGGTTTTTTCCAAAGGAAAAATCTGTGTTTGGGCAACTAAAGCTCAAAATGTTATGCAAACAAAAGATGAACCTAGATCAGCCCAGGAGAAAACTTGATAGACTTGCTACTGAAATAACTTTCAGTGAGTCTTTCTGGGAAAATACAGCCAGGTACTGCAGCTCTAGTGTTGAGGGGGAAAGCTGAAGTGTTTTGAAGGTATAATTATGGAGAAAAGTGAAAACCTACCACCATTCTGTAATCAAAAAGGTCAGAGGTGGGAGGAGGGGTTTGGAGGAGATAATTTGCTACTTTGTTCACAGCACCAGAACAGAGGAAGTGAAATGCAGGATGGGTTGGTTTTGATAACTGAGAAAGTGCTGCCCAGGAGAAAAAAGGGAGACTCATTTGTCCAAAACAGCCTCTTGGTCCCCTCCTCACAACCAGTAGCTTGAAATGGACCTGTCGGCTCCCCACTGTGATGTTAACTTGGTCACACACCTGCTCCCAGTGAGAGTGGTGACAGTCATCACTTTTCAAGAAACCTGTAATTGAGCGATAGCCTGACTAACTTGAGCAAACATCCCTGTTGGTGGTGTTGCCACTGCTAACTTCCTGGCTGCCACATCTCTAGGAGGTGAGCAGCTCCCTAGATAAACAGAAAGAAACTTTGTTATAAATAGGCCACCTGGCCAGCAAGGGCGTGTTCCGGGTAGCTGACCCTGGTTCTCACTAAAGCCGAAACTTTACCTGGAAACTACTTTTGTGGCATCTTTAAAGCATTTGTGGTCCTAGGTGAGAATTAGAGGAGGGCAAGCCTGGGGAAGGTGGTGGGAGGAGAGGAAAGGGGCTGGGGGGATGGGGAGAGGTTGGAAGTGGGGCATCTATGAGTGAAATAGGGAGTTTCTGGAACATAGCCCTGCTCTAGGTTCAGGAGACCCAAACTAGTCCCCAAACTCCCCAGGTGACCTCCAAGGGGAAGGTAAAATGGTGGGAACAGAGCAGTGCCTGGGAGTTGAGAGATGGGCATCTGCTCCCAGGAGCTATGAGCTGTATATAACAGAAGTCCCCTAACCAAACTGGCCTCGCTGTCAAATAAGAGTACTGGACTCAGACGGACCTAGTCTACGTGGCTCACTGGTGTGTAGCAACAGACCACATGTGTAACTCACATGCACAAACGCATTCAAAACATCATTTAGTGAAGCCAGGGCTCACCTCTGTGGCTTTAAATGGGTCATGTTAACCCTATTGGCCTCATCTCATTCAACAAGAGTTTTCGGAGTACCTGCCACATGCAAGCTTTGTGCTAGAACTTTGCAAGTGATAAAAAGCTGAAAACAACCTGCCCTCTCTGGTCCAGTTCACAAAGGTGTGAGAGAGGAGAGACTGTGAAAAGATCAAAGTAGAAGTATAAACAGTTTGCTAAGGGGGGTGAGGGGCTTCCCAGGTAGCACTAGCGGTAAAGAACCCACCTGCCAATGCAGGAGACCTGAGAGACGTGGGATCATAAGATGTGAAACATAAGAGAATTGGGTTCGATCCCTGGGTCGGGAAGATCCCCTGGAGGAGGGCACGGGCAGCTCACTCCAATATTCTTGCTGGAGAATTCCATGGGCAGAGGAGCCTGGTGGGCTACAGTCCATGGGGTCACACAGAGTCAGACAGGCCTGGAGGAACTTAGCACGCACACAAGGGGATGAGACTAGAGATATAAATTCTGCAAGAGAAGTTTTCTTGGAGGAAACTAGGATGTAAAATGGAGGAATTAGACTGTATCACTGGCTTTTTGACTGGACCTGGGGAAGGTGGTGGGAGGAGAGGGGAGGGGATGGGGGGATGGGTAGAGGTTGGAAGGGGGGCATTTTACTAGAAAACTTAGTATCCTCTTATGTGTGACAGGGTATCTCAAAAGTCTCAGGAAAGCTTTGTTGTGTGGGATCTTAGTTCTCTGACCAGGGATTGAACCCTGGCCACAGCAGTGAAAGCACTGAGTCCTAACCACTGGACCACCAGGGAATTACCTTTAGGAAAATTTTACACTTTAATCACCTAAGAGGTATGAATTTTACAAACTAACAAAAAACATCATTTGAAAATGTGATTCCTTTCACCTATGTGAGTTTTGAATAACAACTTTTCATTTTAATTTTGTATCAGGAAATGTTTATCATCTTCAATGGATGGAGACAGACATTAAAATAATAATTTATTATTCAAAATTCATAGAAACGAAGTGAAAGAAATTTAAACTTTCAAATGATGTTCTTTGTAAGTCTGTGGCGTTTATACTTCCAAAGTTATTAAAGCATAAGATTATACTAGGACTTTTGGTACACTTACTCTATATATGTATGTATAATAAGCAAAATGAAATTTTAACAAAACAATACTTACCCATATTACCTGTGATGTAGTTTTGTTTTTTTTTTTTTGCTTTAGTCTAGTCTGATCTTTTAAATAATTTTTTTCCATGCGATTTGCAACACTTTAAATGTATTTCACAATCCTATAATGAGTTGCAATCAATAATTTGATAGACATTGGACTGGGTGAAGCCTCAGTTCCCTTATACCAGTGACAAAAGGTAAATTTGTATTCTGACTAATGAGGCCAGGAAAACAGGTACAGTTTGTTCAGTCTAAGGAAATGTTCCCAGAATAAGAGGATTTCTGGTATCATCTCAGTACTAAAATCAAGATGGTCTGATGTTGCAATCCCAAGGGTGGTTGGAGGAAAAAGAGTTGGGAATGAAAGTTTAGCAGCAGCAGGAGGGAATGAGTGGTTGGGCATACTTGCCGTGGACCTCTTGGCCAGCCAGAAGGTGAGCGAGCTACACTGCGAGGAGGACCATGTGAAGCCCTGCTCTTGCCTAAGGACTGTGTGCACTAGGGGCTGTTTCTCCCTCAAGTCTGGTGCCCTCCCTGACCTTGCCAGCCACACTTCTGGTAATCGTCTCCTACGCAGAGAGCAGGAATCCTTAAAGCCAAAGTCTTCTCACTTACACTGGATTTTGTGTCCCTTCGAAGAGACTCTTTCCCATCACCCGCATGCCAAGCAAACAAACCAGAGTCCCTTACTGCCAAGGCTAATCACAGGTGTCTTGTTTCATTTCAGGATGTGGTTAGTACCTTGAGGAACTGCAAGCACCAGAGAGAAAGCCTTAGACAGCCAGGCTGGATCGAGAGAGCAGATGCTTGGGGAGAGCTCAGTTTAACCCCAAGTCTCTCTTTAGGAGGGAACAAAGGAACAAAGGTGAATCACACTGCGATGTCAAGACGAGGGAGTTGGAGTGACCTGGGTGATTCTGAGTGAGTCAGTCAGGGAGGCCTTCCTGGAGGAGGTGAGTCTTAAGCACTTGGCAGTAGCTGATAACTAAGCTTTGTAGGAGGCATATGTTGTTTTATTGTGCTTTACTTTGTCTTGCTTCACAGATACTGTGTTTTTTATAAATCAAAGGTTTGTGGCAACCCTATATCCAGCAAATCTATTGCTGAAATTTTTCCGGAAGTGTTATTTTTTAATTAAAATATGTACTTTTTTTTTTTACATAATGCTATTGCACACTTAGTAGACTACAGTATGGTATAAACATAACTTTTCTATATCCTGGGAAACCAAAAAATTGTGTGACCCACTTTCTTGCTGTGGTCTGGAACTGACTGCATAGTAACTTCCAGGCTATGCCTGTACCATGCCTTTGTTTCTAACTGTGGTCCCTCTTTCTTGTTGGAGCGGAAGGTAGACAGACAAAGTGTCAGGGAAATGCCACGTTCAGATGGTTCAACACTGTTGTAGCAAACACTTCCCCATTCTGCGGCCCTTGGTCTGTGCTTAGCTGGGGCAGTGGCAGAATCGATGAGATGTCAAAGTCAGGCATCAATCAGCTCAGCAACCCCTAGATAGGACACCGCCTCTACATTGAATTTCCATTTCCTCCTTGAAGCCTTCTTCAAGCCCACGGGCTACTGTTCTTGTCTGTGCTCTTAGTTCAAATTATGTTACTCTTTGAATAGATAATGTTGTCAGGGTTCAAAGTGCAAAAGGGTATTCAGAGAGAGATTTTTTTTCCTGCTCCTATTCCCTCCTGGGTCTGGTGCTCCCCGAACCCAGTTCTTGTTCTCCAACTAGATTTTAAAATCTGGTGGGGAAAGAGGCATCTCACACCTCTCTGTGTCCCTCTGTGTCCCAGCTGGGATGGATTGTTTCACCTCACCACCCAGGGGAGTTCCCCTGGCACCACACCCTCCCTCCTCATCCGCACTGATGCTATCTTGGGTCAGACCACCCCCTAGTTCCTCTTAACTGGTCATCCAGCTGCCAGTCAGGTGCATCTCCTAGACGCCCTCCACCAGCTGTCACACTCCTCCTCCTGTAATGCTGGGCTCCCACTAATCTTTACTGCTCCCCATGCCTCGGGTCAAGGGCAAGCTCTTTGCTTTGATGACTTCATTTCAAGCCACCTCTCCAGACCCATCACCTGCTCCTCCCATCAGGCTTCATACTCCCACCAAACCAAATTCCTTGGAGTTCTCTGATGGATCATGCTGTCTCCTGCATCTCGGGCTTTCTACATATTGTTCCCTCTGCCTGACATGTGCTCACGTCACCAGCCAACTCTTCCTTGTGGATTAGGGCTCAGCCCAAGTTTCTCTCCAGAGGGACTTCACAAACATCACCCTCCCCCACTCAGTGAGTTTACTGCATCCTCTCTCCCTCTGCCCCCGAGGATGCCTCTCTCAGGATGGGTGCCTCTGGCTTAAAATTTGACTCCCGCAATTGACTGTACTCTCCTTGAAGGCTGGGCTTTCTGCGTAGAAGATGATTACCAGGAGTGTGGCTGGCAAGGTCGGGGAGGTCACCAGACTTGGGGGAGAAACAGCCCCTACTGCACACAGTCTTTTGTCAAGAGCAGGACTTCAAATGGTCCTCCCTGCAGTGTAGCTTGCTCACCTTCTGGCTGGCCACTATCTGGCAGAGTACCTGGCATAAAGCAGGAATTCACTCAATACTGGCAGAATCAACAAAACTCCTCTATCTCCCAGACAATACCTAATATAAAATAGATGCTCAAAAAGATTTAATCTGATTCGATTTTTGATGGTGCTGCTGAATCTTTTTTTTTTTTTACGAAAAGCACTATATACAGAAGGCACTTAAAATGTTTCTCTTTAGCATATTTGTGTGACGTAGGTGCTTAGGTATGTTTGCTGTATACAGTAGGTACTCAGCACATGCTTGCTATGTACATGGTAGGCTTTCAGGATGTGGCTGCATACAGGCAGAAATTCAGTGTGATTGCTACACACAAAGGTGCTTGCTTCATGCTTACTGTTTACAGGAGGTGTGCAGTTTCAGCCCCCTATGCCCAGCAGATACTTACTATATGCATGTCTCTTTGCTATATGCATGAATCTGAGGTTTTAAAAGAGAACATCTCCCCCCCCCCCCCCAAAGTGACCCCTGCTCCCTCTTGACATCATGACAGCCACCTGTGCCCCAAGTGGATCCGAGTGACTCCAAATACCAGGCTTCTCCATAGGCAGCAGCTTGTGTGTTTAACAACACAGCTCCACTGAAGTTCTTTTTAAGACAGAGTAATGAGTGTGGCTTTGGCCAAAGACCAGGTGCCTGAGGATAATTGCTGGGAAACTGAGCAGGGTTTTATTAGTGACAATCATAGAAATAATTGAGGGCTCGGTCTGTGCCAGACACTCAGCTGAGTATTTTATATACATTGTTTCTGATTTAATCCTCACACCCCCTGTGGGTTAGTTATTAGTCACCCCCACTTTATAGATGAGGAAGCTGAGGTTTAGAGAGATTAAGTCATGTGCCCGAGGGTCACACAGCTGCTACTGATAAAAACTAACACTTTCTGAGCATTGACTGGGTGCAGAGAGTACTAAGCTTTTTCCAGGAATTATTTCATTGAACTTAATCCTTACAACAAACAACTCTAGGAGGTAGGTGCTATTATTGTTAGAATCTGCAGATCTAGAATTTGTGCGCAGGTCTGTTGCCACCAACATCTAGTGCTTACCCCATGAGTCTTATACTTGCAGAACTGTCTACAGAAAGTTTTGCAAACACTCTTCCTCTGAGCCTGGTACCACATATATGAGGATAGATACTCAGGGCCATGGTCCTGCCTGGAAGGTGCTGTCCTTAGAATCTTAGATTTAAAAATTGTTTTTAATTTTTTTATTAAATATGAATAGATACAGAAAATATTGACAAAATGTGCATAGGATATAAAGAATAGCAGTGCTGCCAGCAGCCACCATTGACTTAAAAAAAAAAAGCTTATTTTGAAGTCCCCCATGTACCTTTATTCCCATGTCTTTCCTCCCTCTTCAGAAACCTCTTTTTTTTTTTTTTCACTCAACCTTGCATCTGTGTTGTGGCATATAGAAATGGTTCATTCGTTGTCATAGTTGTGCCGTCCATGTGCTGTGGATACTTCACACTGTTTATTCATTATAATGCTGATAGACATTTGGATTATTTCTAATTTTTGCCTTTTTTGTGGGTACTGCTAGAAATGTTCTTGTGCATGCCTTTGGTCATATGTTTATCTGAGATATAAAACCAGGAGAGGAATTGCAGGGGTCATACAGTGTGAACATTTTAAATTTTTCTAGAAAATGCCAAATTGTTTCAAAAAGTGGTTACTGATTAAATTTCTTCATGTAGCGTTTCAAGTTTCCAGTTTTTCTAGGTCCATGAACCTCAGAATCTTAGGGCAGGAAAGAAACAGGGTCCATTCTCCTTCTTATCTGGATGGAGACAATTTAGGTGCAGGCAAGTAACGTGATTGGACCAAGGTGATGTCACCATTCAGCAGCAGAGCCTGGATGAGAACCTGCAAATCCCCTGACTCCCTTCCTGCACCTGCCTTGGCTCATTTCTCTCTCTCATCCTTCCTTCTCAGGCCGAGGCCCCAGGGTGTGGCCACCACGACACCTCGTGCTATTTCCAGGGCCAGGCGCAGCAGTCAGAACTGACTCAGCCGGGTCCTTGTCAGTTCCGGAGGATGAGGCTGCTCCGCAGACGCCACATGACCGTGCGCCTGGTCATGGTGGGCAGCGCCTTCGTGTTCTTCCTCTTCATCCTGCAGAGGGACGTGAGTGGCAGGGAGCAGGCCACAGAGAAGCCTTGGCTGAGGTCCTTGGTGAGCCAGAAGGACCACGTCCTGGACCTCATGCTGGGGGCCGTGCACAACCTCAGGGACTCCATGCCCAAGTTCCAGATCAGGGCTCCGGAGCCCCAGCAGACACTGGCCTCCACCAACCAGTCCTGCCTCCCAGGATTCTACACCCCAACTGAACTGAAGCCATTCTGGGAACGGCCGCCACAGGACCCCAATGGCCCTGGGGCGGATGGGAAAGCGTTTCAGAAGAAAGAGTGGACACCCCAGGAGACCCAGGAAAAGGAAGAGGGCTATAAGAAGCACTGCTTCAATGCCTTTGCCAGTGACCGCATCTCCCTGCAGAGGACCCTGGGGCCAGACACCCGACCCCCTGAGTAAGTAGCACCGTATCCCAGGATGAGGCCAGGATTCTGCCAAAGGCGTGGCTGGTATGTCCACAGCCAATGTAAAGGGCTGACACGGATTTTATTTTATATCAATATTTATTTATTTATTTGGCTGCATCAGGTCTTTGTTGTGGCACTCCAGCTCAGCAGTTGTGGCATATGGGCTTGGTTGCCCCGAGGCATGTGGGATCTTAGTTCTCCAACCAGGGATCAAACCTGCATCCCCTGCATTGGAAGGTAAATTCTTAACCACTGCACCACCAGGGATGTCCCTGATAGGGATTTTAGAATGTGGGCAAGGGTTTCCTCTAAGCCCTCCTTTCTTTTCCTGATCCATTGTCGTTATCCTAGGGATTGGGATTCAAGGGCATCATGGTCAGGCCAGAGTCTCAGGGAGACCTGTGAGAGAGAAAAACAGTTGTGAAGGTGACAGGATACAGAAAAAGGAACTCCTGACAGGGACCACAGCGGGCCAAGGGGTGACTAGGAGTGCCTGACTGCAGCCCACAGATTTGGGGGCCTTGCCCTCTGCCAAGAGGCTGGAGACTGCAGGACTCTGCCGCTGAGCTCCTAACAAAGGACATTTCCCAAAAACAGCCCTGGTGGTCAGGATTACTGCTCACCTCCTGGTTTCTTTCAGTGAAGACTCAGGGCCATGAACTCATTCCAACCAATTATTTGAACCTGTTTGTACTTTCAGTCCTGGGCAGTGAACCAGCTCTTAGATCTTTGAGTTGTAGCCACTTCAGCCTGTGTTCTTACTGGCCTCCCGTCAAAGGTTTTGTGTCTTTCTCGTGTAGACTTTGTCATTCCCAGCTCAAGAGGAATACCGTTTTTGGCCTTTTCTCACATGGCAGCTAGGGACTTCCCCAGTGGCTCAGCCATAAAGAATCTGCCTGCAATGCAAAAGATGCAGGAGGCCTGGGCTCCATCCTTGGGTCAGGAAAATCTGCTGGAGGAAGAAATGGAAACCCACTCCAGTATCCTTTCCTGGAGAATCCCATCGACAGAGGTGGGCTACAGTCCATGGGGTTGCAATGACTAGGATGCGACTGAGCGTTCATGACCACACATGGCAGTTTTCATTCTAGGTTCATGATTCTTTAGGGCCGTGAACCTGGAGTTCCTCAGACTTGGACCAAGTATTAGAGTCCTAGAACATGGAGCCAGCCTGAGTTACCAGGACTCCTCACAGGGAAGGGCAGTGGGCCTGAGGGCAGCCAGTGGAGGAGGTCTGGGAGTCTTCTCTGGAGGGCCCCTGAGAAATCTCTCTGACCCCAAGAGGGGGTTTTAAAAAGGCATTTAGAGACTTCCCTGCTGGTCTAGTGGCTAAGACTCCCCACTCCCAATGTAGGGGGACCAGGTTCAATCCCTGGTCAGGGAACTAGATCCCATATCCCGCAACTAAGATTAAAGATCCTGCCTGTTGCACCTTAGACCCAGTGCAGCCAAATAAATAAATAAGTACTTTTTTAAAAGAAAGAAAGGGTGTTAGGCTGCACAATTCCTTGAGATCCAGCATTGACACATTCCCACCCCCTCCTGAGATGGTATGTCAGGGAGGGAGGCAGTGCACCTAGTGCCCCAGAGTGGTTGGAGTGGATGAGGATAGAGAAAAGTCACAGGAAAGTGTTGGTGATAATAGTATCGGATTACAGGGAATTCGTGAGGAAATGGGTTTGAGTGGAACCATTCACTGTAAAGAGTAAAGTCTTTCCTTCTCATTGAATATGGAATTTGTAGTCACTTCTTCCAGATGTCAGAGTTGCCCTTTGTTACTTTCCCTCTGGGACCTCAGGTGGGGGAAATAGGTTTTGGGTGTCTTTGGTTGGGGGCGATTGTTTGTTTTTTGCTGTGCTGGGTCTTAGTTGCTATACACAGGATCTTTGATCTTAGCTGTGGTATGAGGGATATTTCAGTTATGGCATGCAAACTCTTAGTTGCAGCATGTGCAGTCTACTTTGCCGACAAGGGATCGAACCCAAGCCCCCTGCATTGGGAGTGCAGAATCTTAACCACCGGACCACCAAGAAGGTCCCGGGAAACAGGTTTTGGAGTGGGTGGCAAATAGTGGATAAGCTGGAAAAAGCATGCCGCTATTCCCAGCTCCAAAGGGGAATGTAGGCTGGGGCTTCCGAGGAGCAGAGGATGCTTATAGGAATCTGTGGACAGAGCCCTCCCCGCCCCTGGAACAACCAGGGACCCGGAGAACTGTATCTGCACTTTTGTTCGTGCAGGTGTGTCGACCAGAAGTTCCGGCGCTGCCCCCCGCTGCCTGCCACCAGCGTCATCATTGTGTTCCACAACGAGGCCTGGTCCACGCTGCTGCGGACGGTGTACAGCGTCCTGCACACCACCCCTGCCATCCTGCTGAAGGAGATCATTCTGGTGGATGATGCCAGCACGGACGGTGAGGCTAGGGGGCCCCCAAGGAGGGGCCTGGGGTCTCCCCTGGTACTCTGAGGAAAGAGGGCCTGCTGGTGCTCCCAAGGGAGCAGACACTGCCTCGTGGCCTGTTGTGTGGCATCACAGCTCATCATAAAGGTCAGGAGCAGGAAGAAGGCAGGTGGGTGCTAGGGGGCAGGTCAGCCACATTCCTGAACTTGATTTGCATTTGATCCCTAAAGCTCCAAAAGCTTAGGTGTTCTGGCCTCAAGGATTCCCTTAGAGCTGCCAAGCCCAACCCCAATTCAGAAATGCAGAAGGTGAGGATGGGCCCTCCCCTCTGTTTCCCACCTACTGAACCATTCTTTTGCTCTTAAAGATTCCATCTCAGAAGCCCTTTGCTGTAGTTGGTAATAGGCAAGTGAGTTTGCTCACCAAACTTCCATGGTTCAAACTATTTCCACAAACATCTACTGAGTTATTTGCGCCAGGTGCTGCCTTAGGCATAGGAGATGAAATGACAAATTAGACAGATCTCGTCTTGAGTGGGCTAACAGCCCTCATAGTCATATGACTGCTTACAGCACCAGCCGTAGTGGTGTGACCTGGAACACACCCTAGCGGACATGAGAGAACATGGACTTCAGAGTCCAACACCCAGGACCTCAAATCCTAGCTCTGACTTTTCCTAGCTCTTTGACCTTGGGCAAGATACTTAGCCTCTCTGAACTTCCATCCTCACTTTTTTTGTTGTTTTTTCGAATATTTATTTATTTGCCTGTGCCGGCTCTTGGTTGTGCGTGCGGATCTTTAGTTGCAGCATGTGGGATCTAGTTCCCTGATCAGGGATCAGACCTAGGACCCCTACATTTGGAGTGTGGAGTCTTAACCATTGGACCACCAGGGAAGTCCTTCAGTCCCTTCTTCTAAAAATGAAGATAGTTGACTCCCTTGCAAGGTGGCCAAGGGATCAGAGATAGATGGTAAATGAAATCGTTCATGTGCTGCGGAGTACTTAGTCTCCAGTAAGAGCTCCATATGCATTAGTTCCATTTTATCCTTTGTATGGGAGCAGTGCACTGTGGGAGATGTTCTTTCTGTGTGGCCTGGCTGAGACGTCCACGTTGGATTAGAGCTGCACCTGAAAGCCTGAGTATCCAGGGAGAGAAGAGGTGTTGCAGGGCAGCCCCAGAAGAGGGAACAGCATCAGCAGAGCTTCACAAACATTCGTGTTTGTGCTGTGGGAAATGACACTAAAATGATGTTGACTGATATCCTTGTGTGCATGCTAAGTCGCTTCAGTCATGTCCGACTGTTTTCGACCTCATGGACTATAGCCCGCCAGGCTCCTCTGTCCAAGGGATTCTCCAGGCAAGAATACTGGTGTGGGTTGCCATACCCTCCTTCAGGGGATCTTCCCGACCCAGGGATCAAACCTGCGTCTCTTATGTCTGCAGCATTGGCAGGCAGGTTCTTTACCACTAGCACATCCTGGGAAGCCTGAATGAAATCCACACCATGCTAAATGTATTTATTTGGGGGGAAGAAAATGAATCATTGAAGGTACTTAAGCTGGAGAGTGACCTCGTCTCAGAAAGGTGGCAGCTTTGGGGAGGGTGATTGTCAGGAAGAGAAGCAGAGGACCTGGGTCCAGAGAGGAAGTCCTTACAGTCACTCAAGCATGGGATGCCGGGGCCAGAACTAGAAAAGCACTGAGAACCCCTGCAGCAGTAGACTGGGGTCCTCTAGGAGCTGCGCCTTCCTCCCAGGTGGGAAGTGGGGTCTGGGCTCTCCCAGTTTGGCTTCCTATGCCCGTGCTCACATATTGAGGGCAGGAACCATAGAGGTTCCTCCGGCGGCCCAGCTGCTGAAGTACCCTTTCCCTCCCCCAGCCCCCTCCTGCCCTCTGGGAAAGAGGCCTAGAGCCAGGGCGGACAGAGGGAAGAGGCGCTGAGTATGGGCTCTGTGAGCCCATTTTCTCTGGGAGCTCCCACTTGCCTGGGAAGGGCAGACAAGTATCAGAGGTGCGTGAAAGGGTCTGGTGGATAGGGAGCAGAGAGATGAGCTTTGGGGAAGGGAGGGGCAGAGAGTCTGGCAGAGAGGGTTGGGACTTGGGAGTGGCCTCCGGGGAGTCTTAGGAGCAGCAGAATGGTTGTGAGGAACGGGAACCAGTGTATCCATTGCCCTCCAGCTCGAACTGGGCTCTCTAGTAACCCTTATTCCTACAACCCCAAGTGGCCCGTCCCTCAGAAGTTTCTCCCCTTGAATCACATGTGGTGGAGTTTTCTAAACTGTCTCAGCTTGTCACTCAGAATTGTGTAAGTAAAAGGCACGCTGCCCAGCTGGGTGACTCCTCGGACCAGGCCAGTCAATGACATAGTGCCAGATTGGCACGGGCAGTTTCAAAAGGGCAGAGTGGCCTGTGCCTAATAGAGGGGCTTGGCAGTAGCCGCTCCAAAGAGCCTGCCCCTCTCAGGTCACCAGACGTGTTCCAGTTCCTTCTGGTGGCCTCTCTCTTGTTGCCCTGGACTGTCTCATAGAGCTGAGTCCAGCATCTCGGAATCACCTGTCTGAAAAACCAGAACCAGCCATTCTTATTTTCCTGGGTCCTGGCCTCCTTTGACAACCTGTTAAAAGCTATGCCCTTCTCTCTAGAGGGCTTCCCAAGTGGCTCAGTGGGTAAGGAATCTTCCTGCCATCCAAGAGTCACAGGGGATGCGGGTTTGATCCCTAGGTTGGGAAAATCCTCTGGAGGAGGGCATGGCAACCGACTCCAGTATTCTTGCCTGGTAAATCCCATGAACAGTGGAGCCTGAAGGGCTGCCGTCCATGGGGGTCTCAAAGAGTCAGACATGACTGAAGTGACTAAGGATGCAGGCACTCCCTGGAATAGCACACAGCTGCCACAAGTGTGCACACACCCACGTTTGTGCATGTGATTCCAGGGAATTTGTGAACCCCAGGATAAACCATCCTACCTTGAGGGCTTTGAGACTTTAGAGAGACTTTCAGCAAAGAAAGAAAAATATCCTCAGATCCATGGTAATCTCTGCAGCCATGGCCGGATAAAGTTCCCCACACGACTGACCGTTTGATCAGATTAACTGGCTCTCATTTCACACACACGAGGGCTGTGTCTGTGCTGAAATTCAATGTCCAGGCTCTCTGTCCTCCTGTCCAGGTGCCCAGCAGCATGGTTTGAGCACAAATGTATAGGCATTTGATACTGGGGGGCAGGTATCAGAAAGAAGTCTGGAGCCAAGCTGAAGAAATTTTTCTTTTCCTACCTCACAGTCCTTTCCCAGGCACAGGCTTCCCTCCTGCATGGCCAGGTCAGCACCTGAGGTCCACCCTTGATCCGGCATGTTTCACGAGCTCCCAAAAACTGGCCTTCCCACGCCTGTCAATCCACCGTGCTCCCAACTGGGCCTCCCCTTGTCCAAAGCCCTGCCCTGCCCCAGGTCTGCAGGCTGAGGCAGAGAACCTATGCCGCCCTCCTGTGGGAATTCACTAAGTGAGGGGGAGGAATTCAGACACTTACCAGGGACCCAGAGAGCTGAGCAGAAATAAGACCAGGATGACTGCAGAGATGTGAGCAAGAAGGCAGGAACAGCACTGGTGCAAACAGTTTACAAAGGTGAACAGAGCTGAATCACAAGACCTTGGTAAGCAGTAGTCAGTGTTTGGATTTTTAGGGGGTGTATGGTAAAATATACATAAAATTTACCATCTTAACCATTTGTAAGTGTTTCATTCAATGGCATTAAATACATTCTCATTGTAAAACCATCACCAGAACTCTTTCATCTTCCCAAACTGAAACTCTGCGCCCATTAAACAATAACTCCCTATTCCCAGCACCACAGCCCTCAGCAACCCCCATTCCACTTTCGGTCTAGGAATTTGACTACTCTCGATATCTTGTATAAGTGGAATCATGCAGTTACCTTTTGTGTCTGGCTTATTTCACTAAGCGTAACATCTTCGAAGTTCATCCATGTTGTGATGTGTCAGAATTTGCTTCCTTTTTAAGACTGGAGAAGGGCACGACAAATCCACTCCAGTATTCTTGCCTGGAGAATCCCATGGACAGAGGAGCCTGGTGGGCTACAGTCCATGGGGTCTCAAAGAGTCAGACACGACTGAAGCGGCTGAGCACAGAGCACACACGCGTGTCACTGTTAGTATAGTTCACATTTTTGATTCATTCATTCACCCATGGAGATTTGGATTGTTGCCACATTTTTGGCGATTGTGAATAATAGCCAAAATATTGCTATCCACATGGATATACAAATATTTGTTTGCGTCCCTGATCTCTATTATTTTATTAAATACCCAGAAATGGAATTGCTGTATCATATGGTAGTTCTTTAATTTTTTGAGGAGCTGTCATACTGTTTAGATTAATTTTTTTTTTTAATTTTTGGTGGCACCCTGAAGCATGTGGGATCTTAGTTCCCTCACCAGGGGTTGAACCCATGACCCCAGCACTGGGAGATGGAGCTTTAACCACTGGACCACCAGGGAAGTCTCTGGATTCTTTTTTTTTATGGCTGTGCTGGGTCTTCATTGCTGCACAGGCTTTTCTCTGGCTGTGGAGAGTAGGAGGCTACACTCTGGTTGTGGTGCACAGGCTTCTCGTTGCCGTGGCTTCTCTTGCTGCAGCGCACATGCTCTAGGGCACTCAGGCTTCAGTAGCTGCAGCGCATGGACTCGGCAGTTGCAGTTCCCAGGCTCTAAAGCACAGGCTCAGTAGTTGTGGCCCATGGGCTTAGTTGCTTCAAGGCATGTGGGATCTTCCGAGATCAGGAATCAAACCTGTCTCTCCTGCATTGGCAGATGGTTTCTTTACCACTGAATCACCAGTGAAGTCTTGGATTCACTTTTTTAAGTGAAATTTTAAACCATTATAGTGACATGATCTGATTCATGGTTTTAAGAGAGAATTCACTGTGGGTGCTGTGTCAAGAGGAGACTGGGGGCACTTCCCTGGTGGTCCAGTGGTTAAGACTATGTGCTTCTGCTGCCGGGGGCATGGATTCAATCCCTGATTGGGGAACTAAGATACCACATGCCTCATAGCATGGCCAAAAAATAAAAATAAAACCTGACGCCAAAAAAAAAAAAAAATCCATGATGAACAAAAAATCAAAATGGAAAAAACAAACAAACAAAAGAGTAGATTGGGAAGGGGGGGTATAGAATAGAGGTCAGGAGATAAGTTAAGACATTATTGCTGAGGTGCAATGGCGATGGAAAACTGGCCTTACTTGCTGATGGACTGATTGTGGGCAGTGGGAAGAGGGGGAGAGTTTAGCACAATTCCTAGGTTAGAGCAGCTGTTGGGATAATGGTACACAGGGGAGGCTGGGAGGGCAAGTGGGGAAGAAATCTGGGGTTCCATTTCAGGCATGTTAGGTTTGTGGGGTTTTTTGTTTTGATTTGTTTAATTTATTTGGCCACGAGGTATGCAGGATCTTCCCCAACCCGGGATCAAACCCTTGCCCCCTTCAGTGGAAGCACGGAGTCTTTACTGCTGGACCGCCAGAGAAATCCAGTTTTGTGGTTTGTTAGACATCCAAGTGAAGATTTAAGGCCAGGAAAAAAGGCCCAGGGGCATCTGCATATAGATGATGTTCCGCACAGGGGACTGAGTAAGACGTGTGTAGGGGAGGTCACAGGAGTCTTGCAGACTTTGATTGTGAGGGATGAACCTACATGAGGAGGCTGTCACCTGGGGAACATGAGAGAGAATGGATGGGCCCGTCTGAGTCTCCATGCTCAGCTCTGCTGCACTCCGCTCTGGGGTGTCTGTCCAGTGGGTCCAAGGAGGGGCATTACTCAGGGGTGTTCTCCCACCCTCTTCAGAGGGCCTGAGGCTCAAACTCAGAATTCCCAGGTCCCACCTAGCCACCGGGATTGGAGAAAGGGGTGGGAGAAGGGCTATGTAGAGCTCAGCTGCCCTTGACATTCACGGCTCAGCGCGTGGCGGGCCCTTACCACAAAACCCACTTCCTCTGATGTTCTGTCTCTGGGTTCTCTCCATCACCATGAACTTCCTGTGAGCACAGTTATGTTCTCAGGGGAAACGTCAGCCACGCTGAGAAGGCAAGGCTCCCGCGCAGAGCTCCTCCCACCTTCCTGTTAGAGCCCACGCTGGGGGCTGTGCTTGGAGGATGAGCCTAGGAGCTCCGAGCAGGCAGGACCCAGACCTGCCCTGCCCTGCCAGTGACAGTGGCTGGCACCTGGCAGCATGTTCACACATGTACCTAAGTGAGTGCTGGGCTGAAGCTGCCAAATGAGGCTAATTTTGACTCATAAACCCCAGGGACAATACTCCCTATTTCATAGCATTTTAATCTTCATGTGGGTGCTCAGTCGCTCAGTCATGTTGGACTCTTGGTGACCCCATGGACTGTAGCCCAGCAGGCTTCTCTGTCCATGGGGATTCTCCAGGCAAGAATACTGAAGTGAGCTGTCATTTCCTTCTCCAGGGGATCTTCCCAACCCAGGGGTCAAACCTGCATCTCCTGGGGCTCCTGTGTTGGCAGGCGAATCCTTTACCACTGAGCTCCGTGGGAAGCTCTTTAATTTTCACAGAGAAGATTAAATAAGAAAGTCAGCATGGAAGCACCTAGTCCCATGACTGGCATGTAGTAGGTGCTCCAGTATTTGGACACAATGCGTGTGTGTGTGTGTGTGTGTGTGTGTGTGTTTCAAAGTAAAGAGACAGACTTCCCAGGTGGTCCAGTGGTTAAGACTTCATGCTTCCACTGCCAAGGACCCTGGTTCAGTCCCTGGGCAGAGAACCAAGATCCCACATGCCACGTGGCATAGCCAAAAATAAGAAGTAGAGAGGGAGAGATCAATTGCACCTGCACAAAAACAGCCCCCAGTTTGTATGATACGACGGTGGGAGCAAGGCCTAAGCACTGGGCTGACCCCACACCCCTCGAGAGAGAAAGGACACAGTCAGTTTTCACTCCTGCCCCACCCCACCACTTCTGAAACCACAGGCCATCCATTCTGCACAGTGGGGAACACAGCAGCAGCACAGATAAACCAAAACAGCAGTTAATGGATCATCACTACGATTTGGACTATGTTCCAAGATGGATTGCTTCAGAATAGGGTTATTTTTTAAAACTATGTATATATTTTAAATCTTGAGTAAGTGTATTTTATTTTTTATTATTTGTTTAGTTGGCTGCACGGGGTCTTAGTTGTGGGACACAAGATCAATCTTCTTGCGGCATGTGGGGTCTAGTTCCCTAACCAGGAATTGAACCTGGGTTCCCTGCATTGGGAGTGCAGAGTCTTAGCCACTGGACCACGGAAGTCCCTAAGGCTGTTTTTAATGCTCTGAGGGTTTCTGACTGATTAACAAGGGTCCTGAAGTGAGCCCTCTCTCAGAATGAACTGGAGATCTCATCAGATACCCCGCCCTTCAAAGACCTTCCCACACTCCCTCTCCAATTCAGGTGTTGGCCCCTCCTGCAGTCTCCCCCAGCCCTGCGCCGCCTCTGGCGTTCCTTCATCACCTACCCTGCAGTCGCCCACTCCCTGGGCAGACAGGCTCACTGCTGTGCCTGGCTATGCAGGCACTGGATACCTGGGTTTTAAATTTAATTTAAAAGCTGTTCTGCATCATTTCATCTTCCTAAAGAATCCCACGTGCAGAGGAGGTAATAAAGAGGATTAGAGTAAGACATCTTGCTGCTGCCCCAGAAGCCAGAAATGAACACTTGTGTGTGCTCTACCCGTCAGACTTGCTCTGAAGATCCCGGGAGACAGGGACTCAGACATAGAGAAATGACTGCCAAACCCCAAGTGTGGAAATGAGGGGAGGCCTGAGACCCAGCTCTGAAAATCGGGAGCTGAGAGAGAGCTGAGGCCAAAAGAGGCATCTGAGAGCTGTCATCAGAAGTTTATATTTGATTTGAAACCAAAGAAACACAGCTCTGAGGTCCTGTCTCCGACATCAGAGAAGTCGCCCCAATACACAGACACAAGGTGGGCCCTTCGGAGCCAGTGGAATGTCCTAGCAAGGTGGCCATGCGCTGTGCGGACCTCCTCCACGGCCCCCACCCCCACCTTGGGCTTCGGTGAAGTTACTCAGCACAGTAGGTGCGAGAGAGGGTTAAAATGCAGGCCTGCTGGAGGCTTGAGAGTGCCCGGACTTGGTGCCCTTAGGAGATTATGTGTGCTTCCCTTGTAGCTCAGTAAAGAATCTGCCTGCAGTGCAGGAGACTCAGCCAGGCTCCTCTGTCCATGCGATTCTCCAGGCAAGAATACTGGAGTGGGTTGCCATGCTCTCCTCCAGGGGATCTTCCGACCCAGGGGTCGAACCTGTGTCTCTTACGTCTCCTACATTGGCAGGCGAGTTCTTTACCACCCGGGCCACCTGGGAAGTGCAGTGGGGAATTTGGTTTGTGACAAAGTGTTGAGCGGGTGGCAATGACCCTGTGCCTTCCAGAGTACTTGAAGGAGCCCCTGGAGCGGTACGTGAAGGAGCTGCAGGTGGTGCAGGTGGTGCGGCAGCAGGAGCGGAAGGGGCTGATCACCGCCCGGCTGCTGGGAGCCAGCGTGGCCCGGGCGGAGGTGCTCACCTTCCTGGATGCCCACTGTGAGTAAAGGGGGCCGGTCTGGCTCTGCCCCCCTTCCCTCCCTGGCAGAAGGAAAAGCTGGGACCCCCGATCACCCAGGCCTCTGCCTGCTCTGCTGTCCCAGGAAAGAAGCAGGCTTGGGACTCCCCCAGATTCTTCTACCCCTTTCTCACCCTATTCCCTAGGATGGTTATCAGGAGGCACGCACAGCCCTATAACCACTGGGGACCCCACAGTTGCTGGGAGTACGTTCTAGAGCCCAGGCACTCCTCTCCCCGCTTCCCCGATCTGTACCTCATTCTGAGCTCAGCCCCTCGGACTGGCTCCTATTATCTCTGGGCGCTGTTCGGTGTGGCCCTTTCCACATGGAGCCAGGAAGGCCTGCTTCTTGCCCCCAAACAACACACTTCCCTTGCTATTGTCAGGAGGAAAAAAGTGTTCCCTGAAAGCAGTGATACATATTCTGAGAAGCTGTAGACTTGGCGTCAGAAGACCTGGATTTGTATGCTGACCCTGCCACTAACTGAGCCTCAGTCTTCTCCTTTATCAAGTGGGATAAGGATGCCAGCCATACACACCAACAAAATCATCACTCCAGGGGCCAAATCATCTCTGCGGTTCATCAGAAATCCCCAAGGGGTGATTATTCTGCAGCTAGAGCTGAAGCATGAGGTGCAGAGACCCCGGGGAGAGGGGCACCCCCCCATGAGACCCACACTCGGGTGGGGAGAGTCAACTGAGTGGCTAGCCTGCATTCCCTGAAGGCAGCCCTCTACGGCCTCCCTGTGCCTTTGGAGCCTCTGTGTTACTCCCCTGATACCTCTATTATCTCCTCCAAAGCCATTTCCACCTCTCTGGAAGGAGGGGCAGGTGTAGGTGGGTCCTGGGAGATCTCTGTCCACTCTCTGTGACTGTGAAGCTTGCACGTGTTTTCCTGCCTGCAACTGGGGAGTGGGCACTTGTCCTCCTGGGGCTCCCCACTGGCCGGGGGGTGCAGGCTGGTTAGGGGGCAGGACCCTGACTGCTGTCTCCTGGCCCTGGCCTGCAGGTGAGTGCTTCCATGGCTGGCTGGAGCCCCTCCTGGCTCGCATCGCCGAGGACGAGACGGTGGTGGTGAGCCCAAACATCGTCACCATTGACCTGAACACTTTTGAGTTCTCCAAGCCCGTCCAGAGGGGCCGAGTCCAGAGTCGGGGCAACTTTGACTGGAGCCTGACCTTTGGCTGGGAGGCTTTACCTGCACGAGAGAAGCAGAGGCGCAAGGATGAGACCTACCCCATCAAGTAAGTACCACAGGCTTTGGGCCCCCAACCTGGCCTTTGCAGTCACAGGGACCTGGGCCATCTTAGGTCAGCATTTATTGGGTGTTGTGTGAAGAGCTTAGCATATTTAATCATCATTCCCCTGAGGGAGGTACTATGATTAGCCTGTTTTGCAGATGAGAACGCTGAGGTTCCTGGTCGTTAACAGTTGGCCCCAGATTGTACCACCCTGGAAACTGGGGGAGCAAGAGCGCCCATCCCACCAGTTTAGCCACAAGCCTGTCCCCCTACCATGGTGCTGTCCTGCCTAGCCATAACAGTTGGCTCTCACTCTCCTTCTTCCTTGTGCCAGGCCCTGGGTTCAGGGCCTTCTGTACTTTGTCTCATTAATTCTTCCCTACAGGTAGAAAGGACATTACTGCTGCTTGCAGAGAGATAGTGGGTAGAGACCATTGTAAAACAGCCATTATAATGAGAGGGGGTGATGTGTGCAACCAACTGGCCATCTTTGAGAAGGTCTTAAAGGAAGATAGATGCGTGTCTTGCAATTGGCAATGTGTTACAGTTGTCCTGAACTTTTTCAGGAAAGGACCAGATAGCAGATATTTTAGGTTTTGCCAGCTAGGGCTTCCCAGGTGGCGCAGTGGTAAAGAAACTGCCAAGTAGGAGACGACAACCTTACTCCAGTATTCTTGCCTGGAAAATCCCATGGAGAGAAGAACCTGGCAGGCTGCAGTCTGTGGGGTTGCAAAGAGTTGGACACAACTGAGCACCCACACACATACATACATGCAGCTACAAAAAAGAAAAAAAAAATCTTTCCAAAATGTAAAAACTATTCTGGGCCAGAACCTTAGAAAGTCAGGCCAGCTTTGACCCACAGGCCACAGTCTGCCAACCCCTGAGCTAGAAGGCAGGTGCTTGAAAGTTTATCCATTGTTTGATGCCCAGCTGGCTTTGCCTTCTCCCAACACATCCACCCTACTCCTGCCTCTCAGACTGCCTATGGGTGCTATTAGAGATCACAGACATCTCAACCAGACTGAGGAGTGACTTTTAGAGTATCCATTGCTTCTGGATTATCTGTACCACTGTTTTTCTATACTGGCCAGGAAACTGAAGGGTCAACCAAACATATACCAGGGGTGGGGGGAAGCAGAGGTTGGGGGTATAGTGAGCAGAGTTGGGAGGGAAGGCTTTCTCCCCTTCCACGTCCCCAGATCCTAAGAAATGCCACCCAGAGCCTCAGCAGAGAGGCTGCAGAAAGGAATCTCATGGATCTGGAACAGGCTGCTGCTCTGTCTCCTTTGGAAGGAAGAGAAGCAGCAGCAGAAGGGGCAGAAAGGAAAGGAGAAGACAGGAGAGAGAGAGAGAAGAAATTGGAACTCCCTGTTGACTCTGCTTGATTCATAGATGTCTTTTGTTTGGAATGTACAGCAACAAAGCCCCCTCCCCCAAGCTGGGGGCCAGGCACACAGTGGCACAGCCAGGGACAGGGCACCTGGCCCCCACCCATCACTGACATCCCCTGCTCCGAGGTCCAAGGACCATGCAGCTGGAAGACAAAGCTCCAGTGTTTGAGGAATGAGTCTGCTCCCTGGTCCGAATGCCCTGGTGGTGTGCTTGCTTGCCTCCGGCACTTTGCCTGGTACCCGCCAGGAGACCTGCAGGCAGCACCCTCTCTTCCTCCACTCCCAAAGTTAACAGGAGACTAAGAGGAGAGGTGAGGACCCAGGGGACCCCAGAAAGCAAGCCAGGAAATACAGAGAGTTTCCAGAGGTTGCCTATTGGTTGTGAGTCTGTAGCGACGTTCCCCATGTAGTTTATCCTCAGAGATAATTTTTCAGTGGCTTCTTAGTCAGAGGGACCTCCCAAAGCCAAGAGACAGAGACTTCCCTGCTGGTCCAGTGGTTAAGATTCTGAGCTCCCAATGCAGGGACCTGGGTTTGATCCCTGGTCAGGGAACTAGCTCCCATATGCCGCACTAAAGATCCTGCGTGCCACAACTAAGACCTGGTGCAGCCTAAATAAGTAAATAAATATTAAAAAGAAAAAAGCCAAGAGATAGGCTTAGGTCCAGGAGACCCTCAAGAAGCAGACGGTTAGTTCCAAAATGCTCATCTAGGGTCCTAGGACTCTCTGAGCCTTCCTTGGCCTTACTTGGACTGGCTTAGAACCCCTAGGAGAAGCCAAAGCCAGGGACAAAAAGCCTGCCTGAGCTTGAGGGTTTCCCAACCGAAATTCCTTCCAGAAGGTGGCTACATGAGCCAACCTCAGGGCAACGAGAACAGCGGTAGGGTAACACCAACTTCAGGCTCCTGTGTGGTTGCCTTGACTTGTCAACCAGTGAATGCCGACTGAGGCCCTGCTGTGTCTGAAACACCTTGACTGGTCCTGGGCTTACAGAGAAGGTTTCTGCTTGGCTGTGCCACATGGAGCCGCCCACTGAGGGCAGTAAAGCCCCATCCGAGCCAGCCTGGCCTGGCACAGAGACCAACAGTGAGTGATACGTGTGCACTCCTGTCTCCCCAGCTCCCACCCCTTAGCTCAGCCCCTGTTGTGAGCAATGTGGTATCTAAGTTCTTGAGGTTTTGTCAGTTTATCTAAATGTGGGTCCGTGCCTCCCTGCCTTTGTCTGAAAGCCAGAATCTTTTTGTAATCTCCAAATGCTTCCTTTAGTCCAAATTGAGTTTAATTTCACTTCACTCCCTACCCTGTTTCCGGGAGCACCTATGCCCAAAACCTGTTTCACACAGTTTCTGATGACTGAGTATCTACTATGCTTTACGAGCTTTGCTGCCAAAAAGCAAAAGATGGTGCTTTTCTCTTAGCTACTACCCTGAGTACTCAGGAAAAGATCTGTCTCTTTACTCTGTATGACTAATACATAACACAACCCCAGGTAGCCCATGTGTAATATATCCAGTTGAATGAGTAAACAAGTACCTTTTATTATTATTATTAATTTATTTACTGTTGGCTGTGCTGGGTCTTCATTGTTGTGTGGCGGCTTCTTATGGTGGTGGCTTGTCTTGTTGCAAACAACAGGCTCTAGGCACACCAGCTGTCCGAGGCCTGTGGAATCTTCCCAGACCAGGGATTGAACCCGTGTCCCCGACATTGTAAGGCAGATTCTTAACCACTGGACCACCAGGGAAGTCCATGAGTACCTTTTAGAAGACAGTCATGATCTTTACATCTTTCTTGGACCTGATCCTAGAAGGCAAAGAATAAAAGCTCAATAAACATTTGCTAAGTGAATGAGTTAGTGGCTGCACGTTCCAGATGAGAAGAAAGGAGGAGGGAGGGAGTCTTAGAAGCATCTGCGGTGAGTCCGCCCCTTTCCACGCTGGGCTCCGACCCCGCTTCCCCCCAGGAGATGCACATGCTTTTCCCTTTGTCTCTCCAGGTCCCCGACGTTCGCTGGTGGCCTCTTCTCTATCTCCAAGTCCTACTTTGAGCACATCGGTACCTATGATAATCAGATGGAGATCTGGGGAGGGGAGAACGTGGAAATGTCCTTCCGGGTGAGAGCGAAGAGGGCTTCGTGGGGGAACCACAACGTCCCGGGGTACGGATGACCTGAGACCCTGTCTCTTAGGCAGCAGCAGGGTTGGCATATCTGGAGCTGAACTTAGAAGGGTGGCTCTTCCCCATCATGACACCACCCTTCCTCTGCCCCCCAACCCCTGTCCATGGCAGTAAGGTCACAGGACTCAGATTGGACATACGGGAACAGATGACTGGGCAGAACCCCTAAGAGGGAAGGGATCGTGGGGTAACAGGGACCGGATATCTAGGGACTGGTGACATCTTTCATGATGTCTGTGGGAACAGAATTAGGGTGAAGGTGGGACAGGTCAGTAAGCAGTCACTATCCTCTTTCTGGAAAAACCAGGCTTCACTTTCCAGGTCAGAGGACACATGCCTTGGTAGCCTTTGGAGTTACCCTCCCCTATGCTCAGCATGCTCTTCATAACTGTAAGAGAAGATGATGGCCCAAATTCTGGTGGACCCCAGAACTCTGAGGGATTCCAGGAATAAAGCAAATCAGGATTAGGTTAGCAAGAAAGGCTTCCTTGCGGTGAAATCAACACAAATCTCCATCCAGGGGAAAGTAATTAACAAGGAAATGAGCTTGCTTATGAAGTCATTTGGATGGGGTCGTCGACTCAATGGACATGAGTTTGAGCAAACTATGGGAGATAGTGAAGGACAGGGAAGCCGGGCATGCTGCAGTCCATGGGGTTGCAGAGAGTCGGACATGACTGAGCAACTAACAACTACAGTGAAGTCACTTATCACAATGCCTGGCATGTATAAGCACTTCATTGATATCATTGCTGTAACTATGGCTATGATTATGCATTTCTGTTGCTGCTGTCTGAATAGCACTGAAACATGTATATTATCATATGTGAAACAGATCACCAGTCCAGGTTCGATGCATGAGACGGGGTGCTTGGGGCTGGTGCACTGGGGTGACCCAGAGGGATGGGGTGGGGAGGGAGGTGGGGGGGAGGTTCAGGATGGAGAACACCTGAAAACCCATGACTGATTCATGTCAATGTATGGCAAAACCACTACAATATTGTAAAGTAATTAGCCTCTAATTAAAATAAAGAAAGATAGAAAAATTAAATGAATAACAACATACCTCCCAATCTAAAACCTAAAAAAGAGAAGACGCAAGTGGAAGGGGTGTCCTAAACCAGCCCTCTGACAGAGAACGGTCACCAACTTAGCACCATAATTCCCAGGGCTCTGATTCTGAGCTAGTTCATGAGCCTCTGACCTCTGTTCAGTCTTTCTGTAAGGAGGCTACTGTACTAAAGGTCAGGTGATTGCCATAAACCACCTAATGGTGGCTTTTAATTAGTGAATTGATGCTTTGATTGCATCACAAGTCCATCTCCATTTGAAGGAACTTGAGTTCCCGAGTTTCCAGTAACACTTGAGTGAGCTGATAAAATCACCTTTTTGAGTCCAAAAGCCAGGTGGCACCAGAGCTCAGAGTAGTAGATGGATGTAAACTTGGCCATCTGTCTCTTCTCCAAAGTGGGCCCTGGTAACCCTCAGGACCCTGCAAATTTCCACTTGCTTAAATCAAAAGTGAACCACATCAGAGAGTCAGGGATTGTGTAGTCACGGCCTGTGAAGAAGCCTAGTCAGTGTCTTTTTTTTCTGGGGGAGAGGGGCATTTCCCTGATTTCGTGGACCTGGGGTCTGGCACCCTGGGAATGGAACAGGTTGTCCCACCCACCCGCTGAAAACCCCACCCCGTCTCATCTTACGGCAGGTGTGGCAGTGCGGCGGCCAGCTGGAGATTATCCCCTGCTCTGTGGTCGGCCACGTGTTCCGTACCAAGAGTCCCCACACCTTCCCCAAGGGCATCAATGTCATTGCTCGCAACCAGGTGCGCCTGGCTGAGGTCTGGATGGATGGCTACAAGGAGATTTTCTACAGGAGAAATCTGCAGGCAGCACAGATGGCCCGAGAGGTGAGAGGGGAGGATGCTCAGGAGATGTTCGGATGAAGAGAGGGGCATAATCGCAGACCCTGATCCAGGGCTTCATGATGATGGTGGCCCACTCAGCTCGTGCCTTTACACCTCAGGCCTTGGGAGCTAGAGCCCAGGCTCTATTTTGGAGGCTAGAGAATGAGGAAGGGCAGGCTTTGTTGTCCCTGCCTGGAGAGCCCCAGCATCTTTTAGAAGGGGAGGGAGACAAGATTTGGAGGAAGAACCTCTTACAGGAAGAATGGCTTTGCTCTGAGAAACCAGGAATTGAAGACTGGAGGAAAACTGAGAGTTCACAGGAGATGGGGAATGCTATGGGTGGGGATCCCAAAGCCAAGGCAAGGGGTTTGAGATTAGACGTGGAGCCGACAGGAACCCCATCTGATTGGGAATGAGCATGAGACCCATTCTGGGAGAAAGTGGTTCCAGAAACCCTAGGCTACATCTGCCCAGACAGGAAGGTCAAGGCTGGTGAAACTGACCCTTTGGGAGCTGCCTTAATTGACAGAAATCCTTTGGCGACATTTCGGAACGACTGCAGCTGAGGGAACGACTAAACTGTCGCAACTTTTCCTGGTTCCTGGACAACATTTACCCGGAGATGTTTGTCCCTGACCTGAAGCCCACCTTCTTTGGAGCTGTGAGTCTTGAAAACAAATATGCCTACCCATCATCCCAGAAGCCCCGGGAGATGGCTCAGGACCACTGAGCCCATAGCTGGATGAGAAACAATTGATTTTTACTCTCCACTTATCCAGGAGAGGGACGTGGAGGCCACCCGGGCTTCTAGAGCTAGCTAAAAATCTCTTAAGGAGGAAACAGCCTGTAAGCAGTGGTTCTCAAACACTCACTTGTATCAGTCACCAGAAAGGCTTGTTAACACACCGTGTGTTGATTCAGGAGGACTGGGATGGGGCCTGACAATTTGCATTTCTAGCCAGCCCTCAGGCAATGCTGAGGGTCTGGGGATCACACTTTGAGAACCACTGCTCAGAAGGACATTCCCACAGGCTGAGGGCTTCTCCCAGAGACCTGACTGGTTGCCCACCCTGCCCTTGCCCAGTCCCTGGGTTCTGCACCTCATTTGCCGTTCACTCCAAGCATCTGGATTAATGAGTTGGGGAGGAAGGTCACAGAGAGGGAATGCAGCCATGCAGATTTATTCCAGATGGACCTACACCACAAACCAAAAAACCCCCTCACTGTGCTCCCCTGGGTCCCCTTTCTGCTCACCATCCTGCAGCTCAAGAACCTCGGCGTGAATCACTGCCTGGACGTGGGAGAGAACAACAATGGGGGAAAGCCCCTCATCCTGTATGCCTGCCATGGCCTCGGCGGCAATCAGGTACACAGCCCAGCCCCTGATTGGCCTGTCTCCTGGGGCATCTCCTGTCTGCACACACCCCCTTTCTCCACACAGAATAGCCCTTTCCTGAGGACAGGGGTGGGAGAGATCCAGAAAGAGAAGGAGATACCAGTCCTGCCCTCAGGAAGCCCCCAATCTGAAGGGAAACGCATGATACAGACAGATAAGGTCCTAAGTGTGGATCAAGGGCATCCAGAGAGGAGAGGGCAGCAGTGCTGGCTGGTAGAGAGGGGCTGGGAGGGGAGGATTGTTTATCACAGGAAGCGTGCTGGAGGATGTGAGCTGCTGAGTGATGTTTTAGGGTGACCGTGAAAAATTTTTGAGCCCTTTCCCTCACCTACACTCAACTTTTGTGTGTGTGTGTGCTATTTCCAGAAGGCCCATTTATTATATTTTTTAAGTGACGAACTTGTGACTTGACTTTTGAGATTTATTTATTTTTGGCTGTTCTGGGTCTTCATGGCTGCACACAGTCTTTCTCTAGTTACAGTGCTGGGGCTTCTCATTTCAGTGGCTTCTTTTAGTGCAGAGCACAGGCTCTATAGGCTTCAACAGTTGTGACACATGGGCTCAATAAGTGTGACTCACGGGCTCTAGAATTCAGGCTCAGGAGTTATGGCACAGGGGCTTCGTGTCCCAAGGCATACGGGATCTTTCCAGATCAAAGATCGAACCGGTGTCCCCTGCATTGCAAAGTGTATTCTTAATCACTGGACTACCAGGGAAGTGCTTACATTCAACTATCTTCAATGCCTCCCCTGCCCAGAAGCTACCACTCTGATCCTACCACTCATCAGTGACCCCAAAACAACTCCCTACTGACATCTCACAGTTACCTGCATCCACTGTAAGGGCCCATCCCGCTGTGCTACAATGTCCAGCTCTGTTCCTGTGGAATAACTAGTAACCTCCCTGTCTCCAGTTCCTCAATCTACCTTGAATGCCCAGTGTTTGATAAGTAAGAGGCACTTGAAGCAGAGCTGAAGGAAGGAAAAAGTGGCAGGGGACACTGAATAGGATGCCAACGTATGCAAGTGAAGGCAAAGTCATTCTGAAGCCATTGCCTGTACCACTGGCCTGCACAGTGATTTTAGGCTGTATACTGGTGAACATTTTTTCTATGGTAACCTATTAACAAAAAAAGAACCAGCATATCAAACACATGATTTCACAGATAATGCTTTAAATGAGGCAAAGTTAATTTTTTTTTTATTTTTTTTTTTTTTTTTGGTTGAGCCTTGTGGCTTGAAAGATCTTAGTTCTCTGACCAGGGATCAAACCCATACCCTCTGCAGTGGAAGTTCCCTGGACTGCCAGGGAATTCCCTAAGTTAAATTTTTACCTAAAGAAAAAATATTTAGTAACTATTATCTATTATTCCAGTATAACCCAGATACGGTGGCACATGAATTACTGAAATCTTGGCACCCACTCCCTTCCTCCCCAAGAAGCCATCTGTGATTGGCATCTCGGGGCTGTTGGCTTTGGGAGGTGGCAGGCAAACTCTCCACCTGTCCCTCAGAACCTTCTCTTGTCTTCCGTTCTAGTATTTTGAGTACACAACCCAGAGAGACCTTCGCCACAACATCGCAAAGCAGCTGTGTCTACATGCCAGTGCTGGCACTCTGGGCCTTAGGAGCTGCCACTTCACTGGCAAGAATAGCCAAGTGCCCAAGGATGAGGAATGGGAATTCACCCAGGTGAGTTGGCTGTCCCCAAAGCTCAGAATCAAGAACCTGAGGCCACAACTGCACCCTCCCTTTCTTCTGCATCTTCTTCCTGAGATACTATGGGATGGATCCAGACAGTGTACAAAGTATGGAGAATGTGAGCTTGGTTACAGGCAGGGTTCACGGGACTTAAGTAATATTTGGTAATGGCTGATTCTGATTGATATAAAGATGGCGGTGGGGTTATGGTCTCGGGCCAGTTCTGTCATAGTTCAAGTAGTTTTAGGCTGAACCCCAGTAGATGAAGTTGAAGAGTCACTCATGGTTACCACCTGGCCTCTGTGTGCCAACCACAAGGCTGTACACTCATGTACTTTGGTTTGGTTAACCTTCCAGAGGCTCTTCCCAAGTAGGTGGTGTCCCCATGACTAGAGATGGGCCAGCAGCAGCTCAGCAAGTTTGTGTCTGGCCCAAGATCCTTCGCTAGTAAATGGTAGACCCGGGGTTCAGACCTAGATAAAAGCACGGGTTCTTTCCATTACACTGCCCTGCCTGGGATGAATGATGTAACTTCTACAGGATCGGGCTCAAACTAGCAGCCTCCAATGAGCCTCCACACCCACTCCACCCCAATCCCTAGTCCTGGGCTTAGGAAAAGAGGAGCCTAACCTTGGGGCTACAGGGAAGGGAGTAGTCTGAATATGATCAAAGGCAGAAAGTGCGGGTAGACTGCAATGGCCCAGGTCTTTGAGATTGGGCATCTGGAGGCAGTTTGCATTTTCATTTCATCCTGAAAGCATTTTTCAGTTAACCCATGGCCCTCCCTTCCTGTGTTGCAGTTAGTCATGCTAAAGCTGGAGGTGGGGGGAAAAATAATAAAGCTGGAGGTGGGGAATTGGCACCTGGCATAGAAATGCCAATTCCTGTGGAAACTCCGGAATGCATCCCATCAGAGTATCTGGCACCCAAGGAAAGGAATGTGGAAGTATCCCCCCTGTGCCTTGCTGGATTTCCCTTCCCTTTTGTTTATTGTCCTCATCTCATTGCCCCTAGTAGTACTGTCAGAAGTCTGAGGCCTAAGTTGACCCTTTGTTTTGCTGTGTCATCTTTTAGGATCAACTCATCAGGAACTCAGGATCTGGTACCTGCCTGACATCCAAAGACAAAAAGCCAGTCATGGCCACCTGCGACCGCAGTGATCCCCACCAGCGCTGGCTCTTCATTTAACCCCCTGTGGGAGTTCCCACAAGCTTCTCAGGAAACAGAATCTGGGGGAAACCTGATGTTTGAGAACCTGACCAGCAGCTTCCCTGTCAGCCTTAAAGATGGATTTCAAACCCAATGGAAGTCAAGGCAGAGCCTTCCTACTCCTTGCAGCAACATTGGGCCTGTTTTCTTTCCTCCACATTGGTGGACAAGACCATTAGAACACATAAGAGGGGGCCTAAAGCTTTCCTTCTGTCCTAGAAACAGACCTCCAAAGCAGAGGAGGCAGCCGGGAAAGGACCCGGGGCAGCAATGATGAATTCAAGGAAAGTGCCTCTGAGCCACGTCCTGGATCCCTGGTCATCTAGGACACCTGCAGCTTCCAGTGAACTATAGAGTCTATCAGAGGAACTGGAGGTCTAAGTCTCCCTTGCTGTGATTACCTGAAGCACCTTGACAGTGCTTGCCAGGTACACAACAATCCTGTGAGAAAGACAGGAATCACCATGCCCATTTTATAGACAAGAACACTGAGGCAGAAGTAAAGGAGCTGGTCTGTATTCCACAGCTGGTACATGGCTGGAGCTGAAACTGAGGCTCAAATTTGAACCTTGAACCCAGGCTCCTCCCACCCACCACACACACTAAGCAACTAGCCACCAACTCTCCATTCTCTTTTCACTCCAGTCTGATCCTTTCTGGCTGACTGGTCTCCATAAAGCCTAGAACTGTGGAGCCAGGTAACCATCAGGGAGACCACATTTGGGAATCCTGTGACGTTCATTTTGAAAGAAACCTTGTGGAGCTAGCTAGTGATTTCTCAGGTTTACGTCCCAGAGCCTTCTTTCAATGCTCCTTATATAATGTAGTTCCAAAGCAAATTAGCCATGGATGAAAACGAAGGTGGGATGAGGGCAGTGCCCACCAGGCCCTGATTTTCCAAAGGTCTGCAAGCACAATTTGAAAATCCTTGTTTTAATCCAACCCTATCATTTTCATATTATGAAACCAAAGCCAGATAAGAGAAGTTACTTGCCCTAGGCCACCCAAGGAGGTATTGGCAGCCCAGAGGCTAGGACCCAGATAAGGCTAACAAGATCCCTGGGAAGTCTGAGGAAGCAGGGCTCACGGGTGGCCTGGAGCATGACTGTGTGACTGGCCTGGTCTGCTGTTCTCGCGTGAACTCCCCACATGGAGCAGACCTGCTGTGCACGTCAGCTCTTCTCCAAGCAAGTTGGACCCCACCACACATGGCTGCTTTGCCTGAAGTGGAGAACCCCAGCTGCCCGACGGAAGACTCATTGCTTCCAGGAGGGATTCCTACTTTGAGTAGCGGACTGTCATCTTGGGCATCACCACATGAGGGCACCATGGGACCACAGCTGCCTCTCCTTGCCACTCAGGACGTCTCCTAGGTTCCATGGGGTAGCCCAGCCAAAGAGAAAGAAGAGTGGTCAGCAGCGGGGAAAGGGAAAAGTTCTTTCCCAGCAAGAGAAGAGACTGGCACATAGATCCCAGTGGAAATAAAGGTTTTATGGCATGGGTAAAGAAGGTTGGCATTGGGTTCCTCTTCTCCTGGCTTGTCCCTTAGCTGATCTGTTTGGAGGATCCACTGCTTCCAGTTGTGAAGAATCACACACATCTGAAAAGTTCTCTCGCAGGCACTGTCTCTTGTCTCTAGATATCCTCTAGCTTTCAGCCTGGCCTACACAACTGTGTCAAGCACGGGCAGACCTGAGGAGATATGAGGCTCTTCCGCCTGTGGAACTCCCGCTCGAGCTGGGAAAAAAGCTTGTGAACAAGTCATACCAAAACTAGAGATTTTCAGAGCTGGACTAGGTGAGTTAGAACAGTTCCTTTCATTTAGGGAAATCAAGGAAGCCTCACAAAGAGGGTGACATTTGACCTTAGACCTCAAAGGATGAATCTTCAGGTAGGAAGAGCTCAGTAAGGAAAGATGTCACGTGTCAGAAAAGTCGCAGAGGGATGTCGGAGCCGGGAGGCCCTCAGGGTGAGGTCGCAGTGGATGGTAGAAGCCAGAAGGTCAGGACCACACTTTGGCTTTCATGAGCCCTAGGTACTTGAGCTATCATTAAAAAATATTAAATTATATTTCTTACAACTCCATTGGTATTAGGTGAATCTATTCCGGGGTAGTTGTAGAGACTGAGACGTCTGTGGGTCTAAGAGGTATTATGGGCCTTGGGCACTGTGCCTGCTGTGTTTACTGGGGGAGTCAGCCCTGTAGAACAATGGGTGGGGGCCCCACTGGGAAGACTTTGACTGCCATGCTAATAAGTTCGGCAAGCTCTAGGGAGCCTTAGTCCTTAACTCCAATCTTAGCCCTACTCTTGGTTGCATTAAGCATCCAGACATTTATCAGGCACTGTCTGCCGTTTATCTTGATATCCCTCACATTCTCTTAGCATCTGCCAACAGCTCTGCAGCCCAGTCTTATGATGCACGCCCAACCGAGGTGCCCTGTCATGGCACTCACTTTCCTCACCCCGACCCCACAGCAGGAGAGCCTCACCCAGGGGCAGTCAGCTAAGGATAACCCACAGGAGTGAGAGATGCAGCAGCTTTGGGGGTGAAGGGAGGACCAAGGAAGAGAAGTGCTCAAGAAGAGAGAAAGGGCACTAATGGGGGGGGAAGGGCTCAGAAACCAGCTTCATGGCCTGTCCTTAGCCCAGGCTGGCCTTGACCTGTCCCCCCATCTGTGCTGCTAAAATCCACCCCCTGACCGTTCTCAGTTCAGTTCAGTTCAGTCATGTCCGACTCTTTGCCACCCCATGGACTGCAGCACGCCAGGCCTCCCTGTCCATCACCAACTCCCAGAGTTTGCCGAAACTCATGTCCATTGAGTCAGTGATGCCATCCAACCATCTCATCCTCTGTCGGCCCCTTCTCCTGTCTTTAATCTTTCCCAGCCTCAGGATCTTTTCCAATGAGTCAGCTCTTCGCATCAGGTGGCCAAAGTATTGGAGTTTCAGTTTCAACATCAGTCCTTCCAGTGTACACCCAAGACTGATATCCTTTAGGATGGACTGGTTGGATCCCCTTGCAGTCCAAGGGATTCTCAAGAGTCTTCTCCACACCACAGTTCAAAAGCATCAATTCTTTGGTGCTCAGCTTTCTTTATAGTCCAACTCTCACATCCATACATGACTACTGGAAAAACCATAGCCTTGACTATACGGACCTTTGTTGGCAAAGTGACCATTCTTAGGGCTAAACTAAAACCTTAAATCCTGCTTAAAATCTGAATGCTGGCTAGCCATGTGCTACTGTCCCCTGGCTCCAGAAACCTTTCACCTTAGCACTGAATGGCTGGTCCCCTCTGGGGATCTATTTCCCACTTGAAGAGAATGTGTGCCATTGTCAAAAATGAATAAATGTCCTAGAATATATTTCTTAGTTTTAATTACAAAAATAAGGGATGTCCTTGGTAGTCCAGTGGTGTAAGATTCCAAGCTTCCAATGCAGGGGACATGGGTTTGATCCCTGGTCAGGGAACTAAGATCTGGCAGGTTGCCAGATGCAGCCAAAAATAATAATACTGTAGATAAGTCAAATAACAGAAAAATGTGTTTAAAAAGTGAAACTTGGGAGTTCCCTGGTGGTCTACTGGTTAGGATTCTAGGCTTTCACTACCATGGCCAGGGATCAATCCCTGGTCAGGGAACTGAGATCTCGAAAGCCAAGGTGTATAGCCAAAATAGTATTAAAAAAAAAAAAAAGGGAAATTGATCATCACAGTGCTCCCATACCTATTTATTTGTCTAGAAGTAATACTTTTCTATAAAAGTAGTAATTTCTAGGTATAAACCTTCTGTACCCTGTTTCTGTGACTATACATACATATATATATAATATATATTTATAAATATATATTACATATATGTGGGTAGCCATTCCTTTCCCCAGGGGCTCTTCCTAACCCAGGGATTGAACCTGGATCTCCTGCATTTCAGCCAGATTCTTTACTATCTGAGACACCAAGAAGCCCATTATATAATACAAATATATATATAAATAATATATGTATATATTTTTAAAAGGAGAAGGGGGCAGCAAAGGATGAGATGCTTAGATAGCATCACCAACTCAATGGACATGAATTTGAGCAAACCCTGGGAGATAGTGAAGGAAAAAGGAGCCTGGTATGCTGCATTCCATGGGGTTGCAAAGAATAGGATACAACTTAGCTAAAAACAACAACAACAATTAATATATATGTACACAGAGTACCATATTGTTTGAAACTTTTTATCTTCATTTAATATACCAAGGACATTTTTTCATATCATGTCATTTAAGTCTAACTCATTCTTTTTATTTCATTTTTTAAAATATTTATTTATTTGGCTGTGCTGGGTCTTAGTTGTAGCACACAGGGTCTTCCATCTTCCTTGCAGCATGCAGGATCTTTAGTTGTGGCATGTGGGATCTAGTTCCCCAACCAGGGATCAAGTCCAGGCCCTCTCCACTGGGAGCAGGGAGTCTTAGACACTAGACCACCGGCAAGTCCCTAACTCATTCCTTGTAAAAGCTGGATAGTATTCCTTAATATGATTAAACCCAATTTATCTAACCTTCCTCTATTGATGAATACTTAGGTTTTCCCAAATTTTGTGACAAATTTTATGACAAACTACACAAAATATGGTGACAACTGTACTAGAACCCAGGCTTCCCTGATAGGCTCAGATGGTAAAGAATCTGCCTTCAATGCAGGAGACCTGGGTTCAATCCCTGGGTTTGGAAGATCCCCTGGAGGAGGGCATGGCAACGCACTCCAGTATTCTTATCTGGAGAATCCCTGTGGACAGAGGAACCTAGTGGGCTATAGTCCATAGGGTCACAAAGAGTTGGACACAACTGAGCGACTAAGTACATCACTTACTAGAACCCACATCTTTATACATGTATTTGTGTGCCTGTGTTTATTTCAAAAGGACTTAGCGTTGCTCAAAACAAATGCAGTGCCTCAGAATGAAAGCCAAACCTTCCTCCACATATCACCCTCAGAGTCAGGATGAAGAGAGTCTGACCAGCGTGAGAGATGAGGCTCAGTGTGAGATTAGGCAGCGGCATTGAGGGTATTAAGTGCAATGCTTAACAGTCTAATTTTTAAGCAAATACACATTAGGCTTCCCGAAGAATACAAAGATGGATGTGATGTTGACCCTGACCTCAAAGGCTCACTTTGGAGCTTGTAACCTTCAGCAGGCTCGAGCCTCCTCTTGGACTCCTCATCCTGAGGCTAGAGCCATCTCCCTATTCTCCAGAGGAGGCAGGGAGGTGGGAGGAGAATGACAAAGGAGGCCAGGTTCCCCAGCCAGTTCAGCCCTCTTCCCCGGGTCCAGGTCTGCTTTAGGTTAGGGGGGATTGGGCTGGAGAGGCATCCCTTAGTGCAATCCCCCCTCCCCTTCCTGGCTTCAGTTCAGTTCAATCTCTCAGTCATGTCTGACTCTTTGCAACCCCATGGACTGCAACACGCCAGACTTCCCTGTCCATCACCAACTCTCGGAGCTTGTTCAAACTCATGTCCATTGAGTCAGTGATGCCATCCAACCATCTCATCCTCTGTCGTCCCCTTCTCCTCCTGCCTTCAATCTTTCCCAGCATCAGGATCTTTTCCAATGAGTTACTTCTCATCAGATGGCCAAAGTATTTGAGTTTCAGCTTCAGCATCAGTCCTTCCAATGAATATTGAGGACTGATTTCCTTTAGGATGGACTGGNTGATCCAGCGGATGTTGGCAATTTGATCTCTGGTTCCTCTGCCTTTTCTAAATCCAGCTTGAACATCTGGAAGTTCACAGTTCATGTACTATTGAAGCCTGGCTTGGAGAATTATGAGCATTACTTTGCTAGTGTGTGAGATGAGTGCAGTTGTACGGTAGTTTGAGCATTCTTTGGCATTGCTGTTCTTTGTGATTGAAATGAAAACTGACCTTTTCCAGTCCTATGGCCACTGCTGAGTTTTCCAAATTTGCTGGCATATTGAGTGCAGCACTTTCACAACATCACCTTTTAGAGTTTGAAATAGCTCAACTGGAATTCCATCACCTCCACTAGCTTTGTTCCTACTGATGCTCCCTAAGGCCCACCTGACTTCACATTCCAGGATGTCTGGCTCTAGGTGAGTGATCACACCATTGTGGCTTCCTCTGTGCCACATCATTGTGGCACCATTCCTGGCTTCTTGCTGCCTAAATCACAGCTCCACCCACAATGCTCACTCAGGGACTTCCCAATCCAGAGTTTGCCACCCACCACCAGGCACTCTACACCTCCCTCCTTCCTCCTCTCCTGACTCTGATGGGCAGAGCCTCTCATGTCCCGCAGGACACACCTGCTCCGTTTCGGAGCACTCCTCTGCCCTCCACCCTCATAGCCAGAAGACTAGCTTCCTATCCTGAAGTCTCTCTCTTCTCACCCACCCCATACTCTTCTTCTTTGAGAGCTCTTTCATCTGCTCTCCATATGAGTCTCCCCTAACCTGCTTCCTAATACCATCCTCCATCAGAAGTCTCTCCACTGA